AATAAATTTTTAAATTTTCACAATAACTAAGTCAAAATTTCAGCATCATCCGATTTCAGCATCATCCCCGACATTTAATGATAAAGGGTTTGTTCGCAACGTCTAAAACAAGTTTTTTCTTTTTCAAGGGTTTAATCTTCCTATAGAAAATTGATTAATTCAGAGATCATACCAAAAATATGTTCAAGTTATTCAAGTTCTATTTCATTTATACGTTCATCATGATGCTCTTTTCGTTTTCGGTATTTGCGTATCAATTAGTTTTATCGAATAAAAACGTGTCACTGCCAGGTACTTGACGACTTAGTCAATAACCAACCATTTCAAATATGGATGATGGAATTTTCCCAATAAATTTGTTCTTTTTAATATGTAGGAGATGCCAACAATCCATGCGTTAAGTGTCCGCACCCACCAACGGAATGCGATTTACCATGTAACCGTATTAAGAAAAGGAAATCTGTCTGTATTATAACACAACAAACTTGTACTAAATGTCCAAAGAAATCTTGTAAACCCGCTGATGGTCCAGGCAGGTTTTTTAGATCCGTATTTTTCTTAAATAATAATATATATTTTTTTTTTACATGTTTTGGCTATTTCTTAATTAGTCTGCATAAATTGCTTCACGTATCCAATATGTTCTCCATGTGCAAGAGATGAACAATGCTGGATTGATAAGCCGAATTGTTATAATTGTGGGTCATCACATTGTATTAAACCTCCTTTAAGTAAGTTATTTATATTAGACCTCTTTTCGTTTTCTATCCAATCATTTATTAATTATTTTCCTTTTTTAAAAAAAAGAATGCATTACTTGTCCATCAGAAACTCCAGAACCTTCAAAATGTTCAAAAAATTATAAACGTTTAAAAATTCCTCGATCATGTTTTATTTGTGCTCAGGTTGTCTGTGTACCTGAACAGTATCATCTGCCTGATGAATCTCATTCATTTTAAAATATTCTATAAATTGTTTTGTAAAGTTGTTATTCGAATTAAATAAAATATTTGAGTTTGAATGGCTTAGTTTAATTTTTGTGCACTGTAGATCAGAAAGGAATTCTTAGGTCAAAAAGTATTCATTATAATTGAGTACTGTAATCGCAATTTCTACGAAAAATTTTGTTAAAAATTAATATAGAATTTTATTTTTCTCTTATTGTTTGATGAAACTAGGTAAATAACCGTTCCCATTATGAATATTGTTATATGATAATCAAATCGAATTGCTAGAATTTTGGTTACAACTGATCATTTTAAGGGTACGTATGTACGTACAGTACGTACCTAGATTGTAAATGACATTACAAAATTCGTAAAATTCTAGTTTCCACATGATCATTTGTTACAAACATACACTCAATTTATCTAACGAACGCTAAATATATATATATACAGTTATTTTTATTTGCACCTTTAAAATTATCATGATGGCTAAAAGGTTTGAATGGCTTGACGATGCCATCAAAAATAATCAAATTATCCAATATGATTATAATACATTTAATGATATAATACCTATCGGACGCGGATCATCCGGAGATGTTTTTAGTGCAATATCCCCTGAATTTAAAAACAGAGTTGCCTTAAAATCTATTAAAATCAATCCTTCTTATACAATAGAATTACTAATTAACGAGGTTTATAAATATTTTGATCTATTTGATGAAAAGAAATATAAAAAACACTAACAGCCAATATTCTTTGATTACGACAGCTCAAACAACATATTCATATTGATTCACATAATAACGATAATATTCTAACATTCTACGGAATATCCAAAAATGGTGATAAAAATTAAACATATTATTAATGAAATATATTCTACATTATTAATATTTTTAATATATTCTTAGGTCCAAACGAATTTATACTTGTTCTTGAATATGCGAATAATGGTACTCTTAAAGAATATTTATGCGAGAATTTTTATGTATTAAATTGGGATAATAAACTTCACCTTGCAAAACAATTGGCTGAGGCCATAAAGTTTTTGCATTCGCATGATATAATTCATAGAGATCTGGTAGTTTGATAACTTATATTTTAATCCTATGTTTTATTTTATTTATTTATTTATTAAATATATATTTTATCACCTCTTTTTAGCATTCTGAAAATGTACTTATCCATGATAAAGTTGTAAAGCTTAGTGATTTTGGAAATTCAAAATTTATTGCAGATCCATCAATTCAATTAACAAGGGCAATTGGATCGCTATATTACTCGGATCCAGAATTCCTTAAAAGCTTTCCAAATTATAGTCGAACCAAAAAATCAGATATTTATAGTTTAGGTGTACTCTTATGGGAGATATCGAGTGGTAGAGAGCCATTTAAATTCGAACCTTTACTCAGCTTACTCTCACGTATTATCTCAGGATTAAAAGAAAAACCAGTTTATGGAACACCAAAAGATTACGTAGTCATTATGAAGGTATATAATGAATTGTATTGGTATATCATTCCTTTTAATTATAAAAATAATATGAGTTTATACTTATTAGAATGTTGGAATTCGATACCTGATCAACGGCCAACTATTGAAGAGATTGTATCTAAGCTTGAAAATATTAATATAGATAATGTAATATCTGTCGATGAAGCTGAACTTGAAGATGATGGTGATAATAACAAACTAGTTACAACTAACATTATTCAAAAATTAATTAGTGAAATTGATGATGATTCTGAGGTTTATCGTAGCTTAAATGAAGCTTTAAGCTCAGCATCAAATGTTAAAACTTTAAGTACCAAAACTTCGAATTCAACATCAAAGATCGAGGTATTAAATTCAGCATCAAATATCGAAGCTCTAAATTTTAAATCAAATGTTGATGAAGCCTTAAATGTTACATCAAATATTGATAAAGCTTTAAATTCAACATTAAATATTAATAAAAATTTTATTACAAATACCCGATCCAAAAATACTCGAATATATAGATAACAATATCGAAGATTCCAATAAACAATTTCTAAGACAATTAATGCTGCTTTTTTTAAATTACAGTAATATTTCTGAAGAACCTAAATTGCTTATTAATCAGATTAAAGATTTAATTAAAAATTATAATGAAAATTCAGATAAAGTATTTAAAAGATTGTTAAAATGTCAAGGACAACCAGCATTTGCTTATTTAATTGGTTTTTTCTATGAGCATGGAATTGGTGTTAAAATAAATCAACGGAAGGCTCAGAGAATGTATAAACAAGCTAAAGAATATGAAAATAACATTCAAAGTCAGTCAAGTAACATAATATTAAAGCCAATATATAGGATTACAAAATCTACAGAAGCTTTTGTTTATAATGTTTTTGGTAATATTTATAAAAACGGAGTCGGAACTATCAAAAATGATGAGAAGGCATTCCAATGCTACCTGAAATCTGCAGAAAATGGAAATCACCATGCGCAAAACAGTGTTGGATATTATTATCAAATTGGAATTGGAACTGTTAAAGATGAAGAAAAGGCATTCCAATGGTATATGAAGTCTGCTGCAAATGGAAATCCTAAAGCACAAAATGAACTTGGATACTGCTACAGTGCGGGACACCATAAACCAACACCTTTTTATATGTATTTTACAAAAATTGATATAACTTAAAAATAAAAAACTTTTTTCAAAAAATTTTTTAACCAATTTGTAGCTTTAAGGCTAAGCTACAATTTGGTTAAAAAAGATTTTTTATTTTATTTTAATTTTAAAGGTTATATCAATTTAAAGTTTACTATGAAATTGAAAATTTGGCATTTAATATATAATTTTTGACCAATCACAATTGATTACATTATACTAGCCAATCAGAATTGAGTATTTATTTCAAAATTTGGCGCAGAGGGTGTTTGTTTATGCTGTCCCGCACTGTATCAAAATGGAATTGGAACCACCAAAGATGAAGAAAAGGCATTTCAATGGTATACGAAGTCTGCTGAAAATGGAAATCCCAAAGCACAAAATAACGTTGGATTTCGTTATCAACATGGAATTGGAACTACTAAAGATGAGCAAGAAGCGTTTCGATGGTATTTGATGTTTGCTGAAAGAGGAAATTCTTTTGCACAACATAGTCTTGGATTTTGTCATCAAAAAGGAATTGGAACTATGAAAAATGAGGAAGAAGCATTTTGATGGTACAAGAAGTCTGCAGAAAACGGATATTACTGTGGTCAAAATAGTCTTGGATACTGTTATCAATATGGAATTGGAATCGCTAAAGACGAGCAAGAAGCATTTCGATGGTATAGGAAGTTAACTGAAAATAAAGACCCAGGTGCATAAAATAATCTTGGATTTTGTTATCAAAATGGAATCGGCGTCATCAAAGATGAGCAAGAAGCACTCCAATGGTACAAGAAATCTGCGGAAGTTCTCGTAGCCAAAACAGTCTTGGATATTGTTATCAATATGGAGTTGGAACTATGATAAATGAAGAGAAAGCGTTCTATTGGTACAAGAAGTCTGCAATAAACGGAAATTCACGTGGTCAAAATAGCCTTGAATACCGTTATCAATATGGAATTGGAATTGCTAAAGACGAGCAAGAAGCATTCCGATGGTATAAGAAAGCTGCTGATCAGGGAAATATTGTTGGACAAAATAATCTTAAAAATTGTTATGAAAATGGAATTGGTACTATAAAAAATGAACAAGAAGCATTACAGTAGGACATGAAGACTTCTAAAAAGAAAAGGAGGCTTTATTTCAGTGGTACATGAATTCTGCTAAAAATGAAGACTCTAAAGGGCAAAATGAACTTGGATATTGTTATCAGCACGGAATTGGAACCATTAAAAATGAGCAGAAAGCATTTCAATGGTATAAAAATCTGCGGAAGGTGGAAATTCAGACAGACAGGATATTGTTTTGAAAATGGGATTGGCACAATTAAAGACGAGCAAAAAGCATTTCAGTGGTATATGAAGTCTGTTGAAAGTGGAAATTCTAGTGGACTAATTAATCTCGCTAATTGTTTTGAAAATGGAATAGGCACGTCCAAAAATAGGAGAAGGGCTTCTCAATTATATAATAAGATTACTGTAGAAGAATCTTAATACAAACTTAAATATTATAATTTAGTAATACAGTCTATCCTGTCACAAGTAATATCAGTTTTAAAAGTTTTATCTGATTGATTTTTTATCAGTTATCAGTTTTGACAGAATTGGTTTTGACAGGATAAACTGTAATAGTCATAAAATTTGTATTATTAAAATTATTTACAATATTCATTTTTCAAACCTGATATTTTTGTCTATAAATACTTAATTGTATATTTTTATTCAAAAATATTAAAATATTAAAAATGCACTTATAGTATTCAACATCAGATTTTTTTATTGTATTTACTATTTGTATTATAATTTTGTTTCTGATAAAATTTAATGTTAGAGCTTAACACACTACGATTTACAAACAATGAAAAAAAACAAAAAACAGCATTTCTCTCAACAACTAGTATAGGAAACAGGACTTCTTGTACTAAGGAAAAAGAAAGAAAACTATAAACAACACTTCTTTCAATAAAGTAGCTTTTCATAAAAACTTTAAAGCAAGCAACTAAATAAAGCTTTCAAAAAATTTTAGAAAACTTTTGAAAATTTTGAAAATATCATTTTGACCTTGAAATTCTGATCGCAAAACACGTGGACAACAACAACAACAACAAACATGTACAATCAGATAAACAAACAAACAAATATTAGAATATGTGACTACTTTGGATATAGCAAAACAACAATCAATAAACAGTACACATGACTTATTAAAGACTATTCTAGAACACATTATCAATACAAAAATGATGAAAATAAATCTTTTAGAATATATTTGGGACAGAAGTGTAATTGCAGTCAAGTATATCAGTCAACTGATTTGTTATATATTTTATATATACAGTGTTTTTTATATATAAAATTATAGCAAAAACATATAGAATTACATATAAACTTTGTTGCAATGATGTTTTTTCGTCAAAAAAAAAATTTAGCAGATTTAAAGTAAAAATTATATGTAAAATTATATTCTGAATGGTTTTAGGCCCCATAGCTTATTGGTTAAGCTCCCAAACCTCCACAGACAAGATCAATAGTTCAAATCTACCTAGAGGCATAAAATCTGGGATTTTTAATCCTCCGTAAGCCTAAATGACAGGAGCACTATTTCAGATACAAAGCCCTGTAGAAAATCCAAGTGCAAGTACAAGTTCTGAAATAGGAATTTCTAGAAAGAGTCCTGATCGTGAAGTGGTGCCGATACACGTGTCTCTCACAGAAGGTCTAGGTTGTAAAAGATCATACATGTAAGTTTTCTGGTTGGGTGATCTGGAGTCAATACCAACATCTCTTTGTCTCTACTTTAGGCAGTACAAACATCCTGCACACAACTTGTGAATACTTGCTTAGAAGGATGATCAACAGATCATGTATATCAGTTCTAATTTGGATTGGCATTAGGTATTTGCTTGAAAAAATAATACAATACGACCAAAACTGGAGTATTGAGAGAAGTGGTGGACATATGAAAGAACTGTAGTAAAAAATTGGCTTTATCTAAATTGGAAGCATCTCTAATACTATAAAACAACTAACTAAAGAAGATAATCTCATAGAGGCAGGCTAGCTAATCTAGTATATCTAAAAGCATCAAGTCAGAGCTCTAGTCATACCTATATAGAAGTCTATAATAAAAGAAGCCAGAATACACCAACGATAATGCAACACCAACTAATAGATGAGAGTTCAAGTTGGAAGTTAATGTGAATTGGGATATACCTTCTAGTAATATGATACAAGGCCTATGGCTAGAAGTAGGATCTAAGCTCATCTTGATTCTACAAAATACGGTTCTGGTAATACACTATATGAGGAAATACAAATGAATTAGTTGGTACCACTATACTAGAAAAAGAATATTAAGTCCTGGGGTGGCAAACCAGCAGTGGCAGCAGAACTTGGCTTAAGATATGGGTTAGTAGTATCTAGGCAGATAAGTAGGAGGGTCCCTGCCAATTGACATATTTGGCAATATAATACCAACTCTGTCATATGGCAAATCTAACTAGGCAGCAAGTTCCTGGTTTGAGATAAGAGACTGTAGAAAGATCACCTGCACCAATTACAGTTGCACTAATAGGATCTGTTAAAAGATTTGTAGTAGATCATATTTGCAGATATACTAATTTGGAAGCTTATTAGAAGCGAATATTCGACATACCAACTTGGAAGTTATAACTAGTTATGTAAGACATGAAGAGAATATGTAGTTACTAGAAATAGTTAGTTGGAAAGTACAAAGCTAGGTGATATATGTGTGGGGTATAGACCATTCTAGTAGGTTTAGGTCGTAGATAAATTAGTCTAAGTTTCTGTAGTTCGTAAAGTTAATGTATATGTATATGTAATTGTGATCATTGAAGCTATATATTAATAAAAACCAGAGGTGTGACCTCACCTTAATATTAAAAAAAAAAAATTATATTCTGAACAACTTTAGTCTAGGTAACCAAAAAGGTTATCTTGGTAAAAAAAAAAGTTTTCTATATACTAATGTCAAAATTTTCAGTTTTTCTATATAAAACTTTTTTTTTGCTTAAATAACCTATTCTGACCTCTTAAGCAAATTTGTTTAGCACATAATTCTAAATATTTTATATTTCGCCAATTTTGTTTTTTTGAACTTTTTACTAAGTGAAAGATTGGGTCAAAGGTTATACAAAATTTTTTTTTTAAAAATTTTTAAAAATTTTTTTAATTGGTGATTTGCCAGTCAGCCAGTGAGAGGTTATAGTATAATGTGACACAGTTTATTTATAGAAATTAAGATTTTGCAAATATGGGCTGCATCATTTTAAAACTTTTTTTTGTATTAAGTTAACCACCTTTGGGCTTTTAATTGAAGTTGTAGAGCTCATTGAGAGGAATCTAATAGTAGTTGAATCGTCAAA